TATCAGCTTGGTTTTGGAAGCATTTAAACGAAGGTTATTTGCTTGAACCAGTCCAATATTTTAGTTACATCGGCTTGGAGCATTTCTATTGCACGCTGGTATATAAGATGCTGTCAGAATATGAGAGTATCATCCGCGTATTGGAATAAATTGGAAGTGGTCATTACTGTTGAAATATCGTTTACAAAAATGTTAAATAATAGTGGAGACAAAATGGAGCCCTGTGGAACACCGGAGGTTAAGGAAGCATGAGAACTGCGGACGTTATCTATCGATACAACTTGGAAACGATTCGTGAGAAAACTTTTTAGTAAATCATGGAACGGACCACGAAAGCCCACCCTATGAAGCTTGTCTAAAAGGATGGTATGGTTAACGGTATCGAATGCCTTGGCGACATCAATGAAGATGGCGCACGTATACATGTTGTTTTCAAAGGACGAGTGTATCACGTCAGAAAAAGCCTCAAGAAGATGAGTGGTACCGCGACCAGCTACGAACCCGTATTGATGCGGCGAGATTATGTTGTACTTCTCAAGGAACCCGGACATAACGACAAAAACATGTCTCTCTAATATCTGGGAAATGCAAGACAATATTGAAATAGGCCTGTATGAAGAAACTTGGCTTGGTGCACCACCCTTGAAGAGAGGAACAACCAAGGCCTGCTTTAAGTCATCAGGTACATGAGCAGTTTTTAGGATATTATTTATAAGAACAAGGAGAACGTTTTTCAGGGAGTCATAATTTCGACATAAGTCTCGAACTGTCAGGCCATCAACACCCGCCGACCTAGAGCGTTTGAAACCAAACAGATATGACCGCAAATCGGACTCTGAAAGAGTTGGAAGAAAAGCGGATTCAGACGTAAACGGAATGTTGGATGTTAGTACAACATCATCATTAGAGGAGAGCGTGAGTGAGTTTACAAAAAAAAATCATTAAAGGCATTGACAGTAGAAGTTAAGCCTGTTCCGATATGCTTTTTTAATGATTCAGTCGCGCTCGTCTGCTTGTGATCACGAAGGTCGTTTACAATCGACCAAGTTTTTTTAGAGTCAGAGCGAGCGTCAGAAATCTTTTTAGCATAATAGTTTCTTTTTGCTGATCTAATTAGAGCATTAACCCTATTTATTTGTATTTTACATTCTATTTCAAGATTAATGTTGTTGGGAGAGCGCCGAAATCTTTTCCATAATTGTTCTTTACGAGTTATAGCTGCAAGGATATCTGATGTAATCCAGGGCAATGAAGTTCTACGTTTTTTAACGTGCACAATCGTTGTCGACAAGTTCTGAAATTTTATAATGATGTCCACGAACGCAGAATACATGTTCATGCTATTAACGGAGGATATAAATTTGCTCCAGTCATAGTTCTTAATAAACCGATCGAAAGTACCAAAATCAAGTCTCTCCAAACGAAACGTGCTCTCAATGTTATGAGCTACTCTTGAATGAAAAACGCATTTACAAGCAATAAAGTAATGATCCGCGAGCTTCTGTAGAATGACAGCGGAGAGGATAGAAGAATCGGAAGATTTAATATTTATATGATCTAAGCAGGAAGAGACGAGGTTCCCGTTTAACACTTCTTCTCGGGTAGGACGGTTAATGGTAGGTACTATCCCGAATTCAGCAAGTAGTGATAGATAATCACAAACAAATGATTTGGATGTCTTGAGGATGTCAATGTTTATATCTCCTACCAAAAGTAACTGCGCTTCGTTAGATAGTTTTCCTAGACTTTCTCTTAACTCTTCTAAGAAGTATGTGCAGTTCGACGATGGAGGTCGATAGAGTGCTAGCAAGCAAACTGTGCGTTTAGAATTGGAAACACTAAACATCAAGCTTTCTGCGTGGTTAAATAGTATATAAATTTGAGTTGTCATCCACGTGTCTTTTATAAACACACCAATTCCACCTCCTCGAGTGGATGAACGAGTATAAAAGAAGTTTTGAAATCTTTCCAGTTTAAACTGACACAGATTATCAGCGCTGACATTTATTTCGGTTAACACAATTGCATCAATATGGTCACGTACTTCATCAACAATGATCTTAAATTCGTCCCAGTATTTTCGAATACTGCGAATGTTTACGTGTAAAACTGTGAAAGACTCGGAGGAAGAAGAAGAAAATGATTCGTTAAACGAAAGGAAATTTGCGTGCTGTAAAAACCTAGCCATGCCGTCTATGCTATGAGGTCCAGGTCACTTTTCTGCTGAATTCGTACAGGTGGAGAGCCCACTTCTTTTCTGGCGAATATTCTTGCATTTTTTACCCATACAAATTTGTAGCCACACTCTCGTGCACGAGAGTGAGCTAGCCAGAAAAGTTCCTTGTTAGTCTTCGTTAAGCTATCATTGAAATACAGCCTTTCTGGTGGGCTGTCACGTGACAATACCCTGAGCTTGCCACGTGCCTGCATCCATCTGTCTTTAGCGGTGACGGATGCAAACTTCACCACAATAGGTGGGCTTACTGCTCGTTTTCCCTGTAGCCTGTAAACGGAGACCACGTCAGATGGTTGGTGTCCCTCAATTCCAAGCCTGTCTGCGAGCCCCACTAAGACGGAAGGCAAAGACTCGCCGGGTGTGACACTTAATCCATGAATTTCCATATCTTGGTCGCGACTACGTTGTTCTGCGTCGTTCATCTGCGTGTGCTGGCTTTGAATAGTCTGTGCCTGCTCGGAAACCGTGGTCTTCAGTGCCCCCACCTCCGCCCGAAGGTCACGTATGTCCGTCGCGTGGGTAGACACCTTGGCTAGAAGGTTATCGTACTTATCCGCCAAGAAAGAGATTGAGGTTTGAACCTCTTCTACAGACGCCTTCATCAGGTCAATGGAAGGTTTCAATAATAAAAGCTCATTTACCTTCCCGGGAAGCACGAGCAGGGAGTCTAACTTCTCGTTCATGGCCAGAATCTGCGCCGCGAGGGAGGCGGATTCGTTCATCGAGATCGCGTCAGAACTCACGTCGACCTCGTCTATACCAGAACAAGTGCTCTTAGAGCAGCAAGCTTTACACCTCCATTTTTCTTTTCTGTCGGGGCTCATGGCAGCAAACGTGGACTCGGCGATGCCAGAACACGTTTTCCCCAGATGGTAGTCCTTCGCGCAAACTGAGCATGTCATGTGACGGCCGTCCTGGGAAATGTATTTTTTGCAGGCGTCACAAAGAAGAGACATGGTTATAGGTTGATGCGAATATAGGGAAATATGCCAAAGAAACGTAAACACACCTAAAAAAGCGACACCGACTAAACAGTATATTGTGCACAGCTTGAACGGACACCGAGAAAAAAGGTATTTGCAGTGCACTGGTGGTCGGTTACCGGCAATGAAGGGATGATCGCTGAAAGGCCTAGGTTTGACTTTGCACCAGGTTGCAGATGATCACAGTGCCTCATAAGCGGGTATAGACGCTTTGCAGCAGCTGTGCATGGACGCCGCCATAACTGACCTTCAATTTTTGTTTCCTCTTATTTCGTTTATTTTACTTCATCATTAGCACAGCAGGCCAGGTTATTGCCATATTAGACTCAGCTGTGTCCTTTTCTAAAGCATCGGCCTATGTAGAGGATCGTCAACTACCGTTTCAGTTGCTCGGCATCTCGGTAAGACAAGAGAAGGTCAGCAATGGCGGCTGTAATTTGGCGCGTGTGTAAAGCGTCTATAGATGAAGGCCGCTGACATCAAAGCGAGTTGTGCTGGAAAACCTTATGCAGGTACCAGACTCGGTGGTATGGTGCGATGATCAGCGTTGGTCAGGACCACAGTTGGGGCCTTTAGGGCGGCGAACTAGAGGACACGAAGGGGATCCTCTCCTTCTACCGGTAGGGAAACGAGGTCTAGTTTCTCACCACACAATGCTGCAGGAACAATTTGGGCCCTCAGAGCAGGGTTTTAGGATAAAATACAGCACGATAGAAAGGAACACCCGACCCCCGCCACTTCTTCTTCTTCTCAATTATTAATTAACTATTAATTATTATTAATATTATTATTATTATATCTTCTAATCTTTATCTTTGCTTCTTCGTTCCATATTGTCATGAGTAGGACGAAACAATTTCGGCATGCCGCACCCGCGGCTTAATTTGTGTTGCAGTGTTCTAGAGGATGTAGTGGCAAGAGCGGCGCCCGCTTACAATGGGCCACGCGAAAACTGTCAATGTAGATGCCGCGAGTGGCGCTGGAGTTCCGTGCCCTAGGAGAGAGGGAGAGAAATAAATCGTTTTATTAAAACAATCGAAAATCCGGCTGGAGGTAGTTTTGCCACTAGGTCGACATTGTCCCACGCGCGAAAGGAAAAATATAAAATTAAATTAATGAGAAGATAAAAAGAAAGGGGATAGATATGAACAGACTATAGGAGGTATTAAAGTTAGTGGTCAGAAATTTCCACCGTTGTCTTTGTCATGTTCGTAGTATATGAGCCCCTTACAGTTGAGTGTGTAGGCCAGTGGCTCGCCGGAAATTCAAAAATAATCTCTGAAGCAATTTCCTCGTAGCACGAGTACCAGAAGGAAATAGTTGTGCTGTGTCCGGTACCACAAATCTGTGCTTTCTGAACTCAGCGGAGAATGTTTTCGTTTCCTCTTTAAACTTTTGACAATCGTGAAGCATGTGATTGAGGTCTTCGGTTACTCCACATTTTCTGCAGGTATCAGTATCTCGCTTTTTAAATTGGTGCAGCAGTTGGCCTGTACGTGCACTCCCTGTACGTAAACGGAAAAGCAGAGTGGCGTCTGCGCGGCGGAGATTTCGGGTTAAGCACGGCTGAACCGGAGAGGAGTGGCCTATGGATAACGAGCATATATGGTCGTATATAGTTTTGTAGAAATTCCTAATATCTTCTGGGGTCTTAATGCTAGCGGGGAAATTGTGAGCGGCGGAAGCAAGTTGATCCGCTTTTTCGTTGCCTCGTAGCCCGATGTGTGCCGGTACCCACTGATAGCAAATTTTGAAACCGTTCGCTTCCAGTGTTTTTGTAGCTAATTCAGCTGCCGTTGCTGCTTTCGACGTTTCTTTGGGTCTTTGTAGCTGTTGGAGAGCGGCACGAGAGTCTGTTAGTAGAGAGTTTTAGTAGATCGTTCCCATGACTCCGATAGCGATACCCGATACTCCGCCACCACCTCCCTTGCGCATGCATAGTATCGTTATCGGGGCTAACGGAGGTATCGGAACGATCTACTAAAACTCTCTAGTAAACCCACATCTTGTGGTGTGAGCTTACTTATCATACTGAGAGCTTCTACAATCACATACATTTCAGCCATTGTTGACGATACCATATTATCGATTCGTCCACTCCTTTCAAGTTGTAAACTAGGCATATAGCAAGCGGAAGTGCCGCTTCTTCTGGTGCTATTTACTGACCCGTCTGTGTATACTTGTAGACAGTCAGCGTATGTTATCGAGATATACTTAATCGTTTTTTGCTTGACTATTGTTACATTTTCGCTCATCTTATTGCGTATACCCGGAATGTGGCAGGTGCACTTTGGGAAGTAGTTGTTCCGGGGGGGGGGGGGGGGGGGGGGCGATTGTTTAACACCATCTCAATTATGAGAAACATCAGGTGTCCGTCCAAGGTGTTGAAGAGTTTGGCCAGAAATATGAAAACGCGATTGTTGCCTGGTTTTAAGACGTCGCAACAGGCGTGGTACTCAAACGTACGTGCTGAAAAAGGAGACTCTTGGCTGCTAGCTGCGGTAAGTTGAAAGCGCGAGCTTCTTTGTATACTTGTTTCGTTTTTTGTCGAGCTTGGAACTCCCAGGCAAGTCCGCAGGCCTTGTTTATGTATGCACTCGAGCATTTGGGAATCTGTTGGTGACAACTTAATGAATGGCAAAAAAAAAAAAAAATAATATACGGTTGACAATAAGGGCTGAATGCAGACGCATCATGGATCTTGGTGAGTTTCCCTACGACTGTCCTGCGACTCAACGAATTGCGTTTCTTGCTGTCAGTGTAGATTTCTGTATGATCATAGCTTGTGCATGCCAGTTAAGCCTAGAGTTCAAAGTGATTCCTAAAAATCTGTGTTGTCGTTCGCGACGTATCGGTGTATTGTATTGGGTGAGGTCAATTTTGGTATTGCGTCGGTTTTTTTTTCCCAAGAAAAGCACGAATGCAGTTTTTTTTTTTTTGAGTGAGAATTGTAGGCCAGAATCATTGAGATAATTGCTTGCTGCGGTGATGGTTGCTTGAGCGGCGTTTCGAAGGCCATGGTGCCTGTACCCTGAAACCCAGATGCATACATCATCCGCATACACTGACATATTAATGGGAAGAGTATACTTAGGAAGGCATGCTTGTAATCTTGCCAAAACAATATTGAACAGAATGGGCGATAGTACGCTTCCTTGTGGTAAATCTCTAGTACTTCTGCGAGTAGTGCTGAGAGACGGACCAAGCCGAACCCTGAGGGTTCTGTTGGTGAAGACGCTTTTCAGAAACGTTTGGAACTTCCCTGTTATGCCGATGTCTGTCAACTTTTCGAGAACTACCGCTCGTTCAACATTATCGTATGCTTTCGAAATATAAAAAAATACCGCCAATGTCGATTTTTTGTTGGATTGGTTGTGTTCGATCGAACTAATCAGGTCTAAGATGCTGTCTTGAGTCGATAGCCCGCGTCTGAATCCTGTCATTTCGTTCGGCAACAGACGGTTAGCTTCAAGCCACCATGTGAGTCGAGCATGTATCGTCCTTTCCATGAGCTTCACCACACAGAGAATTTGTGGCAGATATCAGATGTGCGATGAGCGAAGAAGACGACGAAGCTGAGGGGGTACGCTTCTGACGAACGTAGCACCGTAGCACTTTTCTTTAGGGTGTAGTCGTGGGGAGTCTTCCCCGTTCGGTTACCGTCTCGGTCATAAATGCAAGGAAAAAGACGGACACACACACTGCTTCGCGCCGGGATGCAAGTCGGGCTACCCGGTCAACAAGGGCAGCCGGAGCACCAGCGATCGTAACCCGTCGCTGTTTCGTGCGCCAAAGGAGGAGTCGGGCCAGACTGCAGTGGGAAGGAGGAGGAGGAGGAATAAACTTTTAATAAATAGAGCTTCAGGCGCTGATGGTTGGGCGCCCGCCCGGTGGGGGGCCTCCTCTAGTCCGGGAAGCCCTGGTCCGCGCTGACTTTCCGGGCTCTCTCCACCAGGCTACGCTGGGCTGAGAGGTCGGAACTGGTCAGCTGGCCCACCCACTGCTCGTAGGTTGCGTGAGGGTTGGGGGCGAGGGATGGGGTTTGCTGACACTCCCAGACCATGTGGTACAGGGTGCCAGGCTGGGAGCAAAATTTGCAGGTAGCAGAATATAGGGTGGGGTACATGGCGTGCAGTAGAGTGCCGTGGGAATACGAGTTAGTTTGTAGCCGACGAAAAGCGGTCGCTTCGGCTCTGGATAGGCGGGGGTGCGGTGGCGGGAACTGTCGTCGTTCGTGGCGGTAATGAGCGAGGATGTCCGCGTATTTCTTAAGAGGAGTAGGTTTGAAAGTGCATGGGGTTTGCGTGTCGTCGCCTTCTTGAGAAACTGCCCGGTGTATATGAGCGCGGGCAGCGGCGTGTGCCGCTTCGTTTCCCTCGAAGGACTCGTGTCCGGGGGTCCAGACGATATGGAGTTCTGGGAGTTGACGTACGTTTTGTAGAACTTTGAGGGCCGTTGGTGATATGCGGCCAAGTAGGAAGTTGCGGCAAGCGGCTTGAGAGTCGGTCAGTACAGTGATATATTCGTTGCCAGTGGTGGCCGCCAAAGCAATGGCGAGCTCTTCTGCTGTCTCGATAGACGTAGTGAGAATTGTAGCTGCCGTCAGTTCTTTGCAATGGGCGTCGGTGACGCTCACGGCGTGGGCTGGTTGTTGGGGGTACGGGGAAGCATCCGTGTAGCGAGTAAAAGAAGAATCCGGGGAGTGTTCGTATTGGGTTTTGAGGGCTCGTATCCGGGCTTCTCGCCGTGCCTTGTTGTAGATGGGATGCATGTTTCTTGGAATAGGTGCGACTTTGATGGAATGTCGGATGGTGAGAGGGATGCGTTTCTTCTGCTCGCATTCTGCAGGAGGCGTGTAACCGAGCCGGTAGAGCGTAGCTCTTCCTACCGATGTGAGTTTCAGTCGGGTGAATTGTGAGACTCGATGGGCTTCTTGTATTTCCTCCCATGTATTATGGACGCCGAGTTGTAGGAGTTTTCGTGTGGCCGTCTTTGGGGGTAGTCCCAGGGCGGCCTTGTAGGTTTGGCGAATGGCAACGTTCAGTTTCTCCTTCTCCGCGGATTTCAGGGCCAAGTACGGTGTCCCGTACGTGACTCGGCTGATAAGGATAGCTTGAATGATGCGTAAAGTGTCGGTTTCTTGTAGTCCAAAGTGGCGATGGGAGACTCTGCGGATGAGGTGCATGAGTTGAGTTAGTGTGCGCTGCAGGAAGAGGATGGTCTGGGCGCCTGAGCCATCTTTTGGTATGTTGAGGCCCAAGATGCGAAGGTGTGGGACGTTGGGGACGGGTTGGTTGTCAATGGTGAGCTCTGGATCTGGTATGGGGTCTTTGTTTTTCTTGTATGTTCTCTTGCACAGCGTTAGAAGGGCAGATTTTTCTGGGGCGCATTCAAGTCCCCTGGGTTGCAGGTATTGTTGGGTCACCTGGATGGCTGCTTGAAGTGCGTCTTGTTGGTCCCCCGTTGATCCGGTGGGGACCCAGAGTGTTAGATCGTCTGCGTAGATGGCGTGATGTAGGTTTGGGATGGCTTGTAATAGGGGTGGCAAGTCCTTCATGGCGATGTTAAACAGTAGGGGGGACACTACCGACCCTTGTGGCGTTCCTTTTGGTATGGTTGTGAACGTGTCGGATCGAAGGTGTCCGATACCCACTGTTGCCGTGCGGTTGGTGAGAAATGAGGCGAAGTATTTGCATGTGCGCTCGCCACAGTTAGTGGATGCGACGCCTTGAAGGATGGCCTGGTGTGAAATGTTGTCGAATGCCCCCTTAATGTCTAGGGTCAAGATCGACCGCTTGCTGTGGTTATTCAAGCTGTCCAGTACTTCCTCCTTGAGCTGAAGCAGTATGTCCTGAGTGGACAGATGCGGGCGAAAGCCGTACATTGTGTCGGGGAAGTAGTCTTTGTCCTCAATGTGAGGCGACAGCCGGTTGTGGACCATGTGTTCGAACAGCTTGCCAACGCAAGAAGTGAGGGAGATGGGCCTGAGATTCTTGGGGTTCAGGGGTTTGCCGGGTTTTGGAATAAGAGTGATGTCCGCGTGTTTCCACTGAGGAGGCAGGGAGCCCGCCAGCCAGCAGTCGTTGATATAGTCTAGCAGATTTTCCAGTGCTACGTGATCGAGGTTTCGAAGTAGCTTGTTGGGTATTTTGTCTCGACCCGGGGTGGTGTTGCGGGTGAGAGTGTATACCGCCGCCTCGATTTCAGCCAGTGAGAATGGCTCGTCCATTTCAGGGTTGGGGTCACCCGTGTAGTCTGGTGCCCGCTTGGGTTGGGCGTGTGACGGGGCCGCCAAAGGTTGTTTGAGCTCATCTAACAAATCGGCTTCAGTACCCGGGTGGTTGTGAATTAATCGGCGGAGTTGGTGGGTCGTGACCGCCTTGGACTCGCCGGTCCCCAACAGGGAGCGTAGCAGGTGCCAAGTTCGACGGGTCCCCAGCGTTCCTTGGATTTTGTTACAAAGTTGCATCCAGTTTAATTGGCTAAGTTGGAGGGCGTATGTTTCCGCTTCTGCCGTTAGTTTTGCAATGCGGGTCTTCAGTTTGCGGTTTGTCTTGTTTTTCCTCCATCGTCTGAGCAGCCCGTTGCGGGCGTCCCAGAGGTGGAGGAGATGGGCGTCGATGGCGGGATTGTCCTCCGTAAGGGAAAGTTCCTTGGTGTTTTCCCGTGCCTTCTCAAGGAGCTGGGTAGTCCAATCCTCGAGGCTTATGATGGGACCGGTGGGAGTTGCTTCTCGGAAATTTTTCCAATTGGTGATGCGTGCCGTGCCAATTTTTTGGCTCCTGGTCCTTTGGTGTGGGATTTGGAGCTGTATTATGTAATGGACACTGCCCAGAGTTTTGTCCAGGCGCGACCATGTAGCCTGTTTGATGTTGTATGTAAACGTCAGGTCGGGGGTCGTATCCTGCGAGACGCTGTTGCCAATTCTAGTGGGAATGTGGAGGGAGTTATATAGGTAGAGTTGATTTTGTAGAGTAGCTTCATGTAAGCTTGTACCCTTTTTGTTGTTTCTGGGGTAACCCCAGGCCGTATGCTGGGCATTGAAATCCCCGAGGACCACGAGTTTGTGGCCTCTGGTTCGTTGGCGGACGATTCTTAGAAGGCGGTCAATCGCCGAGAGAGTCTGTGTTGGAGGACTGTAGATGTTAAGGACGTACAGGCTGGTTTCTGTCTTTTTACGGGGTAGGAGTTCGACGAAAGTATAATCTATCGTTGTAGGTAGAGTGTGCGTTTGGGCGGTTTGGGTGGCTTGAACAAGGACGGCTGTTCGGGATGTTGGATCAGTGACATATGTCGTGTAACCCCGAAGCGACACGTTGTCCGTATTCGTTTCTTGAAGGGCGATGAGGTCTGGCGAGTGTTGAAGGGCGAGGAGAGTGAGCGATGGTTTCTTGTTGCGAAACGAGCGACAGTTCCACTGCCATACGGTCAGCGGGGGTGGAGGTGCGGATGAGTTTTTGGGCGATGGGGGGTTAATCATCATCAATTTGGAGGGGAGGGGACGTGTCGCCGGAGGTGCTGGGTAAGGTGCACTGTTTGGGCCTTTTGCGCGCCTGTCGCTTTGCTTCTTCGATGGTGTGGATGCGCTGATCGAGGTCGATCAACCGGCTGTTGAGGCGTTCTCCCATCTCGTAGATGATGCGCTCAAGGTGGCTAATATGTGTCGGAACGGGCGTAGGGGCGCGAGAGGTAAGTGGTGTGGCCTCGGGGTCCCTATCAAGGGTCGGCCCTGGAGGGCGCTGAATTTGGGGGTGGGCTGGCAGCTCCATTTGCGTGAGGGGTGGTGTGGCATCGGGGTTCCTCTCCGGGGTCGGGTCTTTAGGACGTTGAACTTGGTGCTGGAGTAACAGCTCCACTTGCATGAGAAGTTGCTCGATACGTTGTTCGAGGGTAGTCGTACGTTTATTCGTAGCTTCTAGCTGCTGTTTGAGGAGCGTGTTTTCTTGTTGGAGGGTTTGGATACGGGGATCGGGAGTTTGTACGGGACGGGTGGAGAGTAGGGGGACTTGGTCATGAGCGTTAGGCGGAGGAGCAACGATGGTTGACCAGCTCACCTGTTGTTGGTTCGGTTGGTTCGGTGGAAATTGTCGTTGCTCAGGAGGCTGGGAATTCGAGGAGGATTGTTGTTGCCACCGCTGTGAGGTGAGAGCTCGTTCCCGGTCTCGCAGTGGCGGAGGCGGTGATCGCAGTTTTTTTCGGCAATCCTTGCTAGCCGTGGGGTGGGCGAGGCCGCAGAGTTGGCACTTAGGGGTGCAGTCGTGGTCTTGTGTGGGATCCCTTGTGTGGCACTGAGCGCACATTATCGTGTCGGGATTTGGACAGACGTCTTGCCTGTGTCCGAGTTCTCCACAGAGAGAGCAGCACTGCACTGTTTGTCGGTATGGTCGGCAGCGAGTGAAAAGTCCATACGCTTTGATGTAGAATGGTACATGGATTCCTTCAAATGTGACCACTGCCGATGTAGAGTTGCCCAGCATGCGGGCATGTAGTATACGTGCGCCGTTGTATGCCAGGATGTGAGGGAGTTGGTCAGTGGTGGTGTCCGGGTCCAGACCGTGGATCACCCCACGTCTTGTCCCTGGGAGCGGTTTGAGGTAAGGTAGAACTTCATGAGTTGCTGCCCCCAGTTGGATCGTGGAAATTTCGCTCAACGCGAGCGCACAGTTTTCTTCGGGCGTGCCCGCAACGATTAAATTTTGCGAGGCTTGAATTTGCACGGTGACTCGAGCGTAGAAAATGTATTCAGGTATTTTGCTTGCCCGTTGTAAGCTCTGTGCGAGTTGGCGGTCATTCCAGGCAGCTACTCGTAGTCCAGTTCGTGGCCGAAAGACAACCTTGTAGTCGGAGTCGGGTAGTCGGGGTGCTGGCGTGCCAGGTGGACGGTTTGTAGACTGACGTGGCTCTGAGGGCCGCGGCGGGTTTGCTGGTGGGTTCTTGAGATGGCGACGTTCGCGTAGAATTTGCTGCCAGGGGCCGGGTGGTGCTAAGGTCCGGCCGCTCAGGGCGTCGAACTCCATGGCGTTGTCAGCGGAGTTGGGCATGGTGGCGGCTTGGGCTTTGCGAGCCGGTGGAAGAGCCGGCGGAAAGTCGGTGGCTATGCCTATCGGGGCGAAGCCTAGCGATATGGTTGCCGACGTGGTCGAGCTGTGGGTGGCGATTTTGTCAAAACAGTCACTCTGACGTCCGCTTGGGTGGTATCAACGTACAGCTCGTGATGTTAGGAAGCCCTTGGTGACTGTCTGAGGAACGTAGATGGTCCTGGACATCTAAAAGCGGACTTAGAAGCAGAAGCCTATGCGAGGCGCGGCTGAGCCGCGTCTCCTGCAGTGGGAAAAAAAGAAAAAAAAAAAAGAAAAAAAAAAGAAAAAAAACGATTAAGATTTTTTTTTTTTTTTTGCAGTGGGAAAAAAAAAATCTTAATCGAGAAGATAAACGCCTCGCCGAAATATCAGCGGTGTGCGAAATACATTTTGCACCGCGCCTTATTCTTCGGGACTATGTGCACATCGTCGAAGGCGAAGAGGTTAGGATTCTATGCCGCAATATATTATGATTATTTTTTAGTCTTTTTGCATAGTACGTTGCTGGATATCTGTCATTCTGTCATGTGCTCGCTGTGTATGTCGATGAAGTGTGTTACCACTTTTGAGAAGTCATAAGCAGAGAGTTGAAAATATTTTTTTTTCTTCTTATTAGGGGTTGTTGAAGTTTGTGTTCATATTGTATTTTAATGCTTCATCTATTCTTAATTGAGGTATTTTTTCTTCATAGTCTGCCTTCCACAAAAGACAATTTGCTATATGTTCGCCAGTTGCAGTGGCACCTTGGCCGTTCTCAAACGCGCTCGGCCTTGCACCTTACACAACGCTGGTCCTCGCATCAGCAACACGATGACAAAAAACGATACACTAGTTTATTTTCCTCTTACCATTAAAAAAGTGAGAGATTTATTGAGATTTATTTGTCTATTTTTCCTTGTTATATCAGTATCGCGTGATTTCTTTCGCAGCTATTAAGGGGGATTCAACCGCTATTTGTGTGTACCCATTTACTCATAGATGGCGCAGAAATTTTCCGGAACAAACGAGTTGCATGTTCGCAGATGCGCATGCAGGTCGGGCGCTTGAGGTGGGCTCGGGACACGGGCTGTTCATCGCCGATCTCGAGCTAGATCTTCTTCGCCCTGCGTCCGCCGTTGCCGGAAGCGGCCAACGAGCGGCGCGAGATACGAGCCAGCATAGACGTAGATTATAGTGGCTTACATAACGTAGAATAAGCTCTGATTTCTGACTGGATTCGAAGTTCCAACCACGTTCCAAATTATCGAAAGTTCAGGACATGGCGGTGCGGCCGTTTGGACAAGCACATTTGGCACCAATGCCAATTTGCAAAAAAAAAAAAAAAAAAGTTTTGGAGTTTAATTTAAAGCTAGAAAACAAAAAAGGAATAAAGTGGCAGTTTTGCACTTCCTATGTCCTATGCGCCTGCTCTTCGTCTGAATACTGGTTTGCAAATCCGCTTACAGGTTGTGTGGAGTAAAGCCCATCTATCCTGGGAAAAGTGGCGCCAATCATTTTTGTGGAAATGCTCGAGGCACGTGCGCGCGACACTTCTGGGAAGAACTTGAGCAACTAAATGAGCTGCGCTTAGAGTATCGGCACTCTGTTCTCCAACATTGTTGTAAGCGCCGACATTTTGATGCGTGTGCACAGTAGACGCAAGTGCCGATCGTCATGATTCAAAAGTGCGACTTCCTCAGCATTAGATTCGGTGTTAGGAAGCTCGTATAATATTGGTTTGATCTGTCGCGAACTGTTCAAACATTTATGGAGGACGGAAAAGCGTTTCCTGGGATTTCAGATGAATCTTCAGATAACTGTCAACCATGATTTTAAGCACAATATGAAGAAGTGTAGTTACTCTGAAGCGTAGCTTATAGTGGCACTATATATAGAAGAACATGGCGTCTGAAATCTAGCTCAGTGCTGCGCTGTTTCGCCGTGATCTTCCCTATAGTCTATTTCACCTTATGATGTACCGCAGGAAAGGCTACAAGCGCGAGCTCCTTGCTCTAGGACACGTCTCGGCGGCGCAAGCTCTCGTGCACTAAGGGCTGCTGCCAACGCTATGTGCTCGTGCTTCTAGACTTCGCTACGGTACAACATAAGGTGAAACGGAGTATAGTGCCACTAAATAGAGAGTTTTAGTAGATCGTTCCCATGACTCCGATAACGATACCCGATACTCCGCCACCGCCTCCCTTGCGCATGCATAGTATCGTTATCGGGGCTATCGGAGGTATCGGAACGATCTACTAAAACTCTCTAATAAGCTATGCTTCAGGGTAACGACACTTGTCCATATTGTGGCTTAAAATCATTGCTGCCAGTTATCTAAAAATTTATCTGAAATCACAGGAAACGCTTTTACGTCCTCCACAAATTTTTAAACGCTTCGCGACAGAGCAAAGCAATATTACACGAGATTCCTAACACCGAATCAAATGCCCAGGTAGTCACACTTTTGAATCATGACGATTGGCAGTTGCGTCTGCTTAAGCACCAAGATGGCGGCGCCCACAGCAATATTGGGGAACAGACTGCCGACCCTAAGCATAGCTCATTTAGTGGCGAGGTCCACACTTCTGCGCGTCGAGTCCAAAGCAACAAGAAGCAGCCGTTTCCCACACTCTTAGAAAAAAGGGTATGGATAGTCCTCCCTTAGGGGAGGAACGGTTTTGTAACCCATGTTCCTTTAGAAAGAGAGAAACTTTCGTCCCTGGAGCGGGGGAGCAAAGTTCGTCCGTCGCCTGCATCTCATTATGGCGACCCCGAATCGAGCAAATCGAGCCCAATAAGGCTTGACGAGGACGCTACGTCTCTTTGACGGGACGAGAGGAGCAGCAACTAAAAGCGTAACACGAGCTTTCCGCGAACTGTGTTTATTTCCGAAGCCAGGTACAGAAACTTGCGTTTCGAAAGCAGTTACTCAGTCTTCTCGTCGACAGCACTGCGATGTTAAACGGAGACAACCCATACCCAGTTACTTTGCGCACTTTGCGTCTTACCTTGGGTGTTCCTCGAGTAACAATTCCTTCGTCAACCGCACATCACGGAGAAGGGCAAACTCAATCCGCGAAACCAAAAGCCGCTCTCGAAAGAACAAACTTGAAGCCGCTGTTTATCGCGTAACGTGAAAGAAGGTTAAATCACTAGCCACCAGATGGCGGGGTCAAGAGAGTAATTGCAAGTAGCTAGGCTAGGTGGCGCTAGGTACCGCCCAATTCATGTTCTACAAAAAAATAATTTCATTTTCTTAGGTCATTATTGCCACTGGGGGATCCTCTACTGCACACACATTACGCTTATTAGAAGCATCAGGTGAACATACATTGAGCAAATACACGGAACACCACACTAACCAGAACACTACACCCGTACTCTGCGTTTCCGTCTTTTATACTGGTTGTTTTGAACAGACGGAATTTTTCGGTGACTGAATAAGCAATAAAAAATATTCCCAGCATGTTGATTTTTTCCAGCAATGTCATACCTCTCAGAGTATTTTGAATGGCTCAGGGGATGAATCTCTTATTAAGAAGCAAACGCTCGATCATGCCGTAATTATTTGAAAGCCAATAAATCAAGCTGCTCTAATCCGGTTCGAAGCCATGAGTTTGTTTCCCCGCACGGCACGTCGTAGCCTGTATTTCTATTGTAGTGTTTGTTTTTCTATTTGTGTTGTTCGCGCAAAGCTGCAATTGCCGTCTTGAATTAATCTCTTTAGAGCGGATATTCACTCAGCTGGAAGTGATGCTTCACGGGCACAGAAATCGCTTTTCGATCAACTTGAATGCAGTCAAAGCCGCGACTTCCGACAGCTGTTAAGTGTACGGAGCTGCGCCGTTGCGAGCTCGAAAACTTCTAGCGC